GCAGCGCTCGTGAATTTAGTAGTGCTGCGCATAATGAGTGCGAGTAAGAGAAATGATCATTTCTCTTACTCGCACTCATCAGAATCGGAAGCTGAACTCGAAACCTAAAATGGTTCCACTTTTATTTTACGGAGTGGAGTCTCCTTATATCTTACTTCCTGTGTTAAACTATGAGCGTTTCTTCGCTAGCTATGTGGAATCGGCGGAGTGGGGGTTTGAGGAGAAATATCCGAATTGGCTTTACGGATTGCAAAATCCTTTCACAGAATAAAAGCACGCACGAAAAGGTATACAGCAAACCCTGATTTCACGAGAAAATCGGAAAAAAATTAAAAAAATTCACTTTTTCTGGCAAAGTAGGATCACGTTCAATACCTGTTTTTATCGATGCTCTACAACGTCATCTATTTCAAGACGGTGTAACTACTTCTAAACGCAATTTCTGCTCTGTCAAACTCTGTTGACGTTCCGAATCCTAAAAAAAGATCGTGATTTCTATCATATTTGAAAAGAAATATTTTTTTCTACGCATTCAATCTTGGTTCCGCAAACTCAGGATTGTTCGTACAAGTCATCCCAATACTGCAAGACGCTTATTTGCAATCTGCGATCTCTAAAACTTTTATAAATATGAATGTTAACCTCAAGTGACAGCTGTATACGTGTCAGAAAAATTGAATTTTTTTTCCGATTTTCTCGTTAAATCAGGGTTTGCTGTATACCTTTTCGTGCGTACTTTTATCCTGTGAAAGGATTTTGCAATCCGTAAAGCCAATTCGGATATTTCTCCTCAAGTAGAATCGTGATAAAACAGGACGACTTTAGCATCCCCTCAAACAGATGTTTAGGATAAATATAAAACGGTGTAGTTGAGAGAGAAAGAGAGCAATGCTATGAAAAGAAATAAAAATCTTTACAAATATTAAAGAATTTTTCTAATAAAATGAAAGTAAATATAAAAATTACTGTAGACTAAAGTACGAATGTATGAATTGTAAAGCTGGCCGGTTTTAAAAAAGGTACTGAACGAGACTTTATGAATATCTATGAAAGTAATAAACGATTGATTAAATAATTATACAGTTGACAATTCTCTCTTTACAGGACTGTTTATAATGGCTCAGAATTATTCCTATCGTGTTTAAATTAAAAACGATTAATTTTTAAATAGATAGGTTATATGGAACGAAAAGGTTATGACAAGTGCAGGAAGTAAGATATAAGGAGACTCCACTCCGTAAAATAAAAGTGGACCCATTTTAGGTTTCGAGTTCAGCTTCCGATTCTGATGAGTGCGAGTAAGAGAAATGATCATTTCTCTTACTCGCACTCATTATGCGCAGCACTACTAAATTCACGAGCGCTGCGAGTGTCGAGAATCGGAAACGGAACTCGAAACCTAAAATGGGTTCATGTCTTGTAGACTGGCGAGACCGAGTGGAGTCTCCTTATATCTTCCTTCATGGACAAGTGAATGACAATACGGTTCTTTAGATATAGCGGGACGGACGTGTTTCGCCCCGTCTCGAGATATATTGCGCCTCGACCAATATTTTTGAAGTGTTGCCGGCTTCGACTGTGCCTTGGATTTCTGACTTTGAGAGTCCTCTCACTCGTCTGGGCGCGTGGCCGTGCGGTGCGGAGAACGTGTTACGGGCGTCGTAGCTCGTAGCCACAGGCGTCCAGTGTTTGGGGGGGCGCGCCATTTTTATTCGTTATTGCATCACTCATGCATTTTTGTCCGGTTTCGAGGCTGCCGGTGCCTTGTATACTGAATTTTGACATTACTTACATTTTTCGAGGACTTCAGTGGCCCAGTACCAGTCCGTTTAGGCTGCGGGGCCAATAAAAGAAGAAGAAGAAGAAGAAGGTTCTTTAGATATTTCGCATATAATTTACATTATAACAACTATGATTGGGATGAGAATGAATGCATTTAACGACACTGGACTTGGAGAACCTGAGCAAGATGCGAACACAGCCCTCATAGAACTTGATAAAGGTTTATTTATACCATTTACTTTTCTAACCTATCTAGCACTCAAATGCTAAACAAATATTAACAAATAATCATATTATAAATACAAACATATGTGTATAGTTTGCTTACTGCATAAGAATTTCTTTTAAGTTTTAAGTGTAATTTAGGTTTACGTTCTACCAAGACTGGAGAGCAATGTGAAGCTATAGTACGTTTCCCTCGACTGTTTGAGAAGTATCCCTTTCCAATATTAATAAACTCGTCTCTGTTGAAATTGGCCGACGTATTTCGTACCGGAAGTAATTTCTTACGAGTATGGGTTTTAAGAGTATGTCAGCAGAGTGAGAGGCATCTTGATAAAATCTTGAACGTAGATGAATTTGTAAGACGTATTTATAGTGTTATACATTCAAATGATCCTATTGCTAGAGCTCTTACTCTGCGTACATTGGGCAGCGTAGCTGGCATTATTCCTGAAAGGCAGCAAGTAATACCAATAACCTGATAAGTAAAAAAATAAGACAATTTCTAGCTTACGAAGACAATAAAGCTATTAATTTTTGTTCCAGGTACACCACAGCATAAGAAGATCATTAGATTCTCATGATTCGGTTGAAGTAGAAGCTGCAATATATGCTGCTCAAATGTTTGCAGCACAGTCCAAATTATTTGCTGTATCCATGTGCAGTAAGATTTCCGATATGATCAGAGGTCAAGCTACTCCAGCTTCAATGAAGTTACAGCTTATACCAATTCTACAATATATGCATCACGATACTTTTACAACATCAATGGTATATAATATACTTAATAAAGTTTATATTATATATATAGATTTTATAAAAGAAACATATAATTATTTTATCAAAGGTAAATGAACTGTGTATGGAGCTTCTTGCAAGTTATCCAGCAGTGGAATTTGTGAGAGTCACTCTAAGTGCACTAAGTACTCTTGCTTCTGCGACATTATTAGATGTGCCACTACAAGTTGCGTTATTATTGCGCTATTTACAAGATGATCCAAGGTTATCTATCAAACGTCACGCCTTGCATCTTTTGCATAATTTGGCTAGAAGAGGAGCACATCTCTGGCCACAGGGTGCTCTTAATAATTTAATTGGTATATAATTGGTATATATAAGTTATCATTTAATATGTTTATGAGCGTTATGATTGATATATTTTAATAATTTAGAAAGTACTACAACGCTTTTGCAAGATCGTGCAGGAAATACAGATCTTCTTATCCGTACTTTAGACGTAATTGAGGTCAGTTAAATTGATATTGATGAAAATAATTTCAACTGCGAAAGTTTTTTTAAAATATATTTTTATATGTGTTTATCAAAATGCAGGTGCTTAGCCAAAATGCTGTAACGTGTGATGCAAATATGGAAGAAAATAGTCCCTTATTGCAATTATGTTTAAATGCGTGTTATTCACCTGATCCGTTTGTCGCGGTAAAAGCCGTTACTATACTTTCTAGAGTTGCCTGTTATTGGTACGTACATGTAAAATTTTTCTCTTGGAATACATAGGATATATAATTAATATATAATTTATATATATATATATATGAGTTATTTTATTACAGTTACCAAGAAGGATTGCCTGCTTATGGTATACAAGACGTGATTTCCTGTCTCGAATCTCTGATTGTATTATTAGTTTTGGACGATAAATATTTGCATCAATTGAGAGCATGCTTACGTTCAACAGTGAAACTATGTCAGTCACAGCCCAGTCATTGTGCTTTGTTTGTCGACACTATTGGTTCTACTCTTATCAACGCAGAAAGCAGTCAGGATGAGAAACAGACAGTCGCATTGTGCGAAGCATTAGGTGCTATTGGTAGTTTAGGAGAGAATACATTGCTTCCTCTTTTACCAGATATTTTGATCAAGCTTAAACAGACATCTCATGTACATACAAAGGTAAACTTGTAATACGTAAGAAGAATTGTTTCCTTTATGTAGGAGAATTTAGCTTTTCAACAAATATACATTTTCATGAGATTATATTTTGATTTGAAAAGGTAATGCTTTGTACATTAGTATTCCAAACGGTGGCTGGAGGATACGAATGGAATTCGGAATGTTTAGAGGCAGTAAACAACATTGTGAGAAACGTGGATGGTTGGGCGAAATATCGTATTGCCCGCAGCGCAGCAAGATACGGCCATCATACAATTGCTACTGAAATATTTAAAGGTCTAAAAGAAACTGTAGCGTCGGAACAGCTACATTTTTGGCTGTCCGGTTTAGAATTAGTTACAAAAGCAGAATGTTGTCTCATGTATGTATTTTCTGTTTTATCTGCTGTCAGGATCATAGTGCATTATTTTATTTGTTCTTCTCTGTTTTCTTCTTCTAACATAATAATATATGTATAAAGGAATAAAACGGAAGGCGAAAATGACATGGATAAAGTTGAGATTGTGGAAAAACTAAATGGCGCGATAGCGCGTTATGCAAGCGCTTGCGCGTCTCTCAAAGCCGCTAGCACTCCATTACGCAGTTTGCAGTTTCCAAGCGAATATTCAAAATTACGTTGTGAATTCTTACAGTCCATAGCGCAATTATTACACTCGTGCATGTAAGTAAAAATGGCCAATGTAATTAAGAAAAAGAAATTGCAGAAATCCAAATCTAAATTTTTAGATCTTTATGTACTGCACCACCACCTGCTATAGCTGTCACAGTTGTCATTGCGACGAAAGACGATCTCCAGAGATACGGACGTGTTACACATCAGGTATAATTCATATAATTCATATAATTATAATTGTAAACTGATTTCAATTGTAAATATCTACCTATAGCTATATGTATTATACATATATACTACATGTGTATATTCTAAATTGTATTTTACAGTTAAGAAAATCAACACAAGATTTGAAAAACTGTGCGGAAAGTTACCAGAAGTTATATCAATCAGCCTTTGATGCTGATCCGGAATCGTTGGCGAATATTCGGGCGTATCCTTTTACTAGAGAAATTTTTATTTAACTATAATCTATTTAAGAACGCTCTCTCGGCTATTTACCTGAATTCGTATCATGCAGATTACAAGAAATATGTCGGTTATTAGTAAACAGCGTAGAACGAGTTTGCGGCGGACCTAATATTTCAATGTATCAGCAGCAGAATGATTCTGTGAATTTTCATTTTGATGACTCCGTAGAGATGCGACAGTTGGCTCGCTGCTGTGCCGAGTTGCGCCGTTTAGCACCATCCTGTGTGGGTGGCGAAAGCAAGACTGGAGCAATCAGTCATTTGAGAGTTAGTTGCTTGATGTCACAAGTGATACTTCTTGCCGGTGGAACGATGAGATTGCCGATTCCACGATATTTCTTTCAAACTCTGCAAACTACTAGTATTAAGCTGTATGTGTCACCTCAACCGCGTGTTCTCGGTGAGCCTGTATCTGTGCCACAAGGTAGCCAGCTAGCGCTTAAAGTCGAAGGAGTATTGCAACATGGTCGACGGGCTTCTCTTTTCCGTTCTGTCGCTGCAGTATGCATTTCTATCTCGACGACGCCGCCTTCGAAAATAAATTCTGATCAAAAGGTAGATGAAGTATTTAAAATTATAATCGTATTAATTAAAAGTAGTGCATATTATGCATGTTATTAAAATGAAAGTTAAAGATTTATTCGTGAACTATTAATTATATTAACAAAAATTAATATGTTAATTGTTACATATTAAATAATGTTACATACTAAATAATGCATGTTTGCTTACAGGATTCCAATATGAATGAATTGCAGCAAACAGTAACACCTCATCGGGATTTCTTCGCTTGCGAATTTTTATTATCTTTGGGAGTACCTGGATCTACAATTATATCTCCAGGTACGGTTGGTGCAAACCCTGTGCCCAGTAGTGGTGGTCAATATCAAATCACGGCGAGTGCAAGTATACTCGACAAGGATGGTAATGTATGGAAGTGTGGCCCACGTTCTACTTTACCTGTTAGAGTACACGAAGAACCTGCGAAGAGGAAGTTACCTTAAGGACACGCACTTTGTGGCAGGCAATATATTTCATAATATTTTTATTCAAATAAATTTTAACAAAAGAACGAATTTTAATAAGCTGTCTTTATAAGAAAATACATATTGTAATTTTTCTTTTAATTTAAAAATAAACGTGATTTGTATTAGCAATAATATAATAGTTACGATAATGTAATATGTTACAAATATACTTTTCGTAACTTAGTTTATTCTTCTAGATAATTTTAAAACCCAAGTTTATTGTTATACTTTATAAATATTAATATATAACTATTGACACACAATTTCTTGTCATTACAGCGATATTTAATTTTGGTTTAAATTGTAATATTTGTACAATATTTTTAATTTTTTGTAGAGGGAGGGATATTCTTTTTTTATAGATTTATATATGAATTCGGATATATATTTTTAATATAAAATATAATGTATATGAAAAAAATATCTCAAAATAAATCGTCGACTTTTAACTGCATTTGAGCATAAATAAAATTTATTTTAGGTAAACTAATTCGTGTAAAAAATCTAAATATAAAATTCTATTATAAATAGAATTCTATTCTAAAATCTGACATAAATTTTAAATCGTTTAAAATGGACTCAAAATTTCTCGAAAAAAAAAAAAAACGATTTTACAATTGTACGATCTATTTGTAATATCAATCACAATTCTATTATCTTCGTTTAACTGTATTACAATTCTTGTTGCGTATTAAAAAAAATATTTAAATCATTTGAAAATATCGGCAACATATTTTAATCATAAACTTCTTCACACAGTAAATAATTCTTCCGAAGAAGAAAAAACGCTTACACTTTTTGAGGAAATACGTTTTACATTCAAAAGTATATCGTAATATATATATATATATATATATTATTTTATATTACTATTCTTTATTTAAGAAGCATTATTTTATATATCCCATAGTTTCAAAATTTATTGCACGCATCTAAAAAAACGCGCGCAGGACTCGTCGTAGCGGAGTGACGTTAGCCGTCAAGTAGCGAGTGTCGACGTTTGAGTGGACGCGCGGGCGACGACCTATAAAAGGGAGATCGCGAGAGTGGCGGACGCACAGTCGCGCACAGTCTATCTGCCGGTACGGTTCGGAGCGGAGCGGAACGCGCGAACGGCCGAGCGTTATATTCCACTGCATTCGGACACCCGGCACTACCTGCAGGAAGCAACAGTTATGTCTTCGAGGAACGTTGCACCGCTGATCGCCGACCCGCTGCGCTGTTGAAGCTCGTCGCGCGTGTGCCCGCGGTAAGTCAGGAACTTTTTAACGATCTTGAAACCTTTTTTTGCGCTTCCCACTTCGCGCCAAGTTCGGTCCGACATTATTACGTATTCCTGGACGCTTCGTCGGGGAAACGCGCGATCGCTTTTTAATCTCTGATGGTCGCTCTTCGCGAAGTTTCAGTACGTCATTTTAAGTCCATCTACATATTTATAATTTGTACAAGTTTCCCCTCGACGCGAAGGACGGCCGGCGAAAGCGAGCGCCATTTTTGAAACCGTATAGAGAACGTAATGAAGGAACGACGAGCTCATTATAAATGTTATATAATTTCTCAAAATATATAACACCAGTCAAGTGTATAGAATAATTTGTTATTTTAATCGCGCCCGCCACGTGAAAACTTTTCGAGTGGATTAATTGGTAATGCATCGCTATATATTCTCGAACATTTTGAGGCGACTGAAGTTTAGCGCTTATGACGATTCAAACCTCAAGTCGAGTGATCGAACCACCATTTTAACGTTCATTGCATAATCGATTATTCATGAATTTTTTGTTGTTAGGTTTTGTTGTAGTTCGAAAGAGTATATCCTACTGAAAAAAAATGACGTCATAAAATTACATAACGAAACCATGTAATTAAAACAAGTAAATCACACATAACGGATAGTTTCAAATCAATACGTGATTTTTTAAATCACATAATTTGAAAAATACGATATTAGAAATAATTTTATCTATCATATGATTTTATAGTTATCGAATTTTAAATAATTAAGTGAAAGAAATAGAAAACAAACATATCATCGTGTAACTTTTTAAATTACATGATTTACATATTTTAATTAAAAACATAATTTCGTTGTATAATTTTGCGACGTGATTTTTTTCAGTAAGGTATAATGCTTTATCTGATTCTCATGCAAATATCGCACTGAAAGTACTCGTAATTTGAGTTATGATTGGAATATTGAGAAATAGTTAGAACGTAAGGCATAATGAAAATTTTTGTGTATTCGACATTTGCCGTGACGCTTTATTTCAGAATGAAAATGGTTAGTAAAAGTTGACATTTGTTGTGACTACAGTATAAGAATTTAATTTTTACATTTGTTTCATGATGTTTTTCATTCTTGTTTTACGATTATAACAACTACAATTTTGTTTCTCGTTTTTTGCTTTTTATTATTTTTTACATGTTGTCTTTTTGTCTCTCATCTCGTTTTTTTTTTCTATATCGCACGAGATAAAAGTTAACAAACTTCGGAAAAAAAAAATACGCGAAAAGAAATATAATTGTCAATAAAACGGTTACAAAGAGGAGAGAAAGCAAGACATTAAAAGCAAGAAACAGGAGACAAAAAGCACATTGTAGAATAGGCTTAATATTTGACGTTTATAAAAGTATGTTCCATAATCCATAATATTGCGCACACGAGTTAAATTGACACAGAAAATTCATCGAACAAAGTCGGAAACGAAATGTCGCACGCGTTTTGAAATAACTTTTATCGGTCTAAAACGCTCATCAATATTTTTGATGCATTTTATACCGTTTTTAAACGGAGGTTTTCATTTTAAAAAATTCAAGAGAAATATTTTGGTCATTTTATTTAACCATTTATGGTCAACATAAATCAAAATGAACATAATGTGGAGGTTGGTCAACATAAATCAAAATGAACATAATGTGGAGGAGCACAAATAATGTAAATAATCTCAAGAGTATTAGACAAAAATAAGAAATTTTTTAAATATTATAAATTTAAAAAAATTATTAACGTTCCAAGTAAAAATACTAATTTTCTAAAGTTAAAACGTTTACGATTTTTTTTTAGTGTTAAAATTAAATTTTTTACTACAACATTGTTCCATTTGTTTAAAGGATGAAATTATATATTGTATGTAATTTTTTAAAGTCAATGGAACTAACGCTATTGATTTAGTAATACCTAAAAAATAGTTCGATTCATTTTAACCCAGAATAACCATTGTATGACTTTTTTGAACTGTGACCATAAAGGATTAACGCAAAACTTGATCTGGAAACGAGAATCGGATAATATTCTGCGCTCTTCCATTATTCCTTGTTTTCACAAGTAATATTGCGTTTTGCAAGACGAAACCGCGATCGTGGAGGAGGAACGGCGGACGAGGAAGAGAACGACGGTCTTGCAGTCGAGTAAACTGCCGAACTTTGGTCCAGATTAATTTGCCGGTACCTCGGGGGAGCATTGGAAGCCGCGGATGCCGGACGCGGCTTCTCGTGCGGGAGACCCGGGGAACTATATGTGGAATCAAATCAAGCACGCGTGGATGGAGTTCCGGCAATAGAATCTTATCTCTAGCTATACCTGTTTTTTGTACCCTTGATATGCACATTCGGATACTCCACCCATATTTATTACCGTAACTTCCGTAAAAACGGACATACTCTTGAATTAATTTTTGTTTTTAATCTATGGAGATTTTGATCAACACATCGAGCGCTGACCAATTTTTATAGATGTACCGCGGAAGCTGAAGCTTGAAACTATCCAATGTTAAATTAATACTTTTTATACAACTTGAGAATCTTGATTAGTTATTTTAGTATATTGTTGGAAGTCACAGAAATCTGTGACATATACGATGTGTGTCGTTGGCTATCGAAGAGAGTAGTCAATACCACATGGTGTGTGTCGCCGGTGCGTTCAACATATTAAGAAACAAGTCCATAACGTGTAAAAATCAATAGACTTATGGAGGTTTGAGATATATGCAGGTTCAAAAAAAAAAAAAAAAAACAGAAAAGTTCAGAAATGCGAAAAAATCTCAATTTGGCAAATTGCACTGGGATTTCTGGGACCCCGATGTGTACAGCTAAAGTTGCGACGCGTTCGGGGAAACGTTATTAGCACTGTTTGTGTTATTCTATTCTTGTTTTCCCTCTAATAAACGATGAAAGTAGAATGATACAAATAGCTCTAATAGCGTCTTCCCGAAATTGCATGCATACCCTTAAAATTACGCGTGTGAAACTCTTGACAAGGATAACTGATTGCGACAATGGCGAAGGTCGTCGTGAGTCGTCGTCGTGATCCGCAATCTAAAACGAGCTATGCTTCTTTGCTTTCTTCGGGAGAGAAGGATCGTTCCAGAGAGGATCCTTCCGGCGATCGTTTTTCGTCGTTTTCATCGAGAATCAACTTTGCGCGCTTGACACCTAATTGAATTTGCCGATCCTTGCCGGGGGCTAGTTATAATTATTAGATAACACGTAACCGTTACAACTAGATTTCGCTAATATTTCCAAAGACTTTAACGTAACTCTCTTATAGACTATCAAGCGATCGATTAAAGATAATCCCGTTATCTCACCAAATTAAATGTCATATTACTTTTAATATGGTTCGTATCTTTCACTGTAAATAATACGTCCAGTTGTACGAGACAAGACGGGTCCCGATTTATAGTTAAATATTTACTTCGTTACTCCAGAAATTTACTTGATTTCGTTATCGGAAAATTCTTCGGGCGCAAATTCTGTTATCGCTGCATTCTAAAGTAATCGTCCTTTAAGAAAAGCAAATTTAGATTTAGTGTTGCGTAAAACGACCGCTACGTAGGCATTATAAACGACTTAACGGGCTTGAAAAAAGCGGACGATAATGAAAAGGAAGCGCTTAGTGTAATTGATTTGTGTGCGCGGCAAACTTAATGGCACTTTCTCAGAGAGACTTTGAGAAGACAATTGAAACCATCCGCGTATTATTTTAATACATCTTTTTTGACATACAAAACATCGGAGGTAATTGAGTGAATCACTTATAT